TGTATTCCAACTCAGCATCTATTGACCTTTAAAGTGGCTGTTGTGAGTTGTTGCTCTTTGCTCTTTACAGAATTGCCTATCCGATCTTTTTCTTTTCAACAAAGGCGATAATTCTGTTCAGTGGTGAGATAATCTAATCTCTCTGCCACGGAGACCACATATCCCAGCAAACCTTCAGATCAAAGCCTGCCAGGGACTCCTCAACATGGTGTCCCTTGATCGCCTTTTCTACCACAAAAACAAAATGCCCCCGAAGAGTGTGTGAACTGCCCACTCTGGGAAAAATGGAAAAGAGACTTTAATGCCTTGAGCAACGCAAGTAGAGTTCCTTGACACTCTTGTCATTGATACACACCCGCATTTGCTGTCTACGCTCTCTGTGTGAGGCAATGGTCTTCAAGGATGGGTGGTCCGTCTGGGGCTGAAATCGGACGTGTGTGTAGGGGTGTGTGAGCTCCCTTTGTGTCAGGGGAGAGGGGCCTTTGTTCTCTTAACCAGGGAGGTGGGACCAACAGATTAAGCCTTTAGAAGTGCAACCGACCACCATGAGGGCACGCCACAAGGGAGAATGTGTTTGCATGTTGTTGTGAATGCGTGTGTGTTTATATGGCCCGGCATGTACGTATGCCTGCACGCATGCACAGTGTGTGTTGTGGAATATGAGTGGAAGTAGTAAAAGGAGAGAAACAGGGAAAGAAATCGACACAGAGACTGAGAGAAGAAGTCAGAGCGGGCATTTGTACCCATTTGCATGCGAATTAGCATGAGTTAGTGAGAATCTGATGCAGGTCAGCAGGTCAATAGTTCTTATCCATCTGTCCTTCTGATGGCATGCCTCCCAGGTCAGTTTGATTCCTCTGTGAGGGAGCTAATCTCACCCCAGTGCTCAGTGAGCCTCTACAGCGTCCTCTGATCTGCTCCTTCAAACCCCCCCCCCTCCCTGCTCCCCTGACACACACAACAAAATGGGCCTGAGCTCAGGGGAGGGGAGAGTCACACACACACACATACACACACACAAACATGTATAAATGCAAACACACACACACACACACACACAGACAGATGGATAGTTGCCTTAAGATACTAGTTTTTATCCAAATTATTCACATGAAAAGCTTCAGAATGAAATCTGTGAACTAATTTACAACAAATCAGTCAGGCACTTTATTGATGTTACTATTTCTTATACAAGATTTTTTATTTACGCCCGCTTTGAGCATCATGGTAATGATCGCCCCCCAAATAAAGATCCTAAAAACACTGCTGTCAGTGAGAGGGAAGCAAACCTTTCCTCAGACACTTTCCTGTTGTTGTCTGTGGTGCATTTCATCTTTTACAGACACCAAGCAGGTTATAGCATATGCTAAAAGATATTTTTAAATACTGTCTGACCCATGTCTGCAGAGAGCAAAGCTTTTGGGAATAGGACAAGCACACCATCTGTGATGTAGTCCTCCATCGGCCCTCTATCTTATGAAACAGCCCTCCTCCTCCTCTTACGCTCCACTTCTTGTTCCCTGTCTCTCTCTCTCTCTCTCTCTCTCTCTCTCTCTCTCTCTCTCTCTCCTTCTTCACTTTTCTTCCTCTCCAGCATTTCTCCGTCTGTCATGGCGGCTGTTTGAACAAACAAACACGCGAGGGTCCGCGGTGAGCCAGACGGCGTGATGTGGGATTGTTTGCTTTGGTTGCTCCCGTGCGGGAGAAAGTTTTCTTAAGAGGCACACAGAGGTCTGGAGCAGAACAGAGAGACCACAAAACAAATATTTACCCTCCTGCCTCCAGCGCCTGGGCCCTTTCCTCCCTTCCTCGGGTGAGGAACAAGAGGATGGGCCCACTTTTGGTTCTGGAGAGAAGGAGAAATGTGGTCCACAGATACTGGGAAGGCTTGACCCTCAACTTATTCACTGTGATTGGTTCTTGGATTACTAATTGATACCATTAATGCTGAACTCAACATGGAATGAGTGACTCCAGTATTTACACAATTCCTTGAATGAGAAAGACAAAACAACAGAGCTGTATTACTTTGGCTATAGTCTGTAACCCTTCTCACCTGGTGATTCCACTGGCAACCTCGCCAGTCCTGCTCTTATAATCTCTCCTCTCTCTATGTCTCCATTCTACGATCAAACACAAATCAACAGATATCACTGTCCCTCCAATGCAGCCATTAAGCTCAGCCTCTATCTGAATTTAAAGTGTGTCTCCCGTCGCTCCACTGCCTGTAAATATGCACATGTTTGACTGAGGGGTCAGCAAGGAAGACAGGAACTGGGCAGAAATGCCTACTTCCTGGAGGAGACAGCACCACAGGGTTGGGGGTGTGTGTGGGGTGGGGGTCTTGGGGTGCGGAGGGTTGGGGGGGGGGTTCTTTGCCAATCATGCGTGCAGCACAGAGACATTCTCGGATGCACGCCGTCACACATCAGAGATGAACAATAAAGCAGGGGAGGTGAGTGAGAGGGCGCTCACAGGAAGTGGATGATTTCACTTGTTGAGGTGCGAGGCCTGTGATGGACTGATATGCAGGTGTTAATATCCTGCAGAAAGGAAATAGTTGTACGCTTTACTGACCGCCGCTGAGCGTGGGGCTATCCTCAGGTTGGGCATGGAATTCCTAATGCTTGGTTCTTCTTCTCTCTGACCACAGACTACACAAAATGCTGGAGCAGTGGTAACTAATTGTCAGTGGCAATATGAAAAAAAAAAAAAAAGTTTTATTCTGTGCTCGTTCACAGAAACCACCCACCCACCAATATATCTGTTTAAACACTCCTTTGTTGATGTTCAGCAACATGGAGCACATGAGAAAAATGACAAGATCACCAGTGGAGCTGTAGCGCCCTCTTGTGTTATATTTGTAAATGCTCTTCTTTTCAACACCATAACATTAAATAATAAATGGCCTGTCACACTGAACACAGGTTTAAGAAATCCATACTTTTAAAGTGTGATTTAGGTTTTTACTTTGAATTCATAATTGTGTCATGAATCAAATGTGTTTATACATCAAGATTCTATGAATGATGAACTGATAATGAAAGATAACAGGATAAGAATAATACAAAATGATAATCTGATATACAGTATATCCCTTAGTCTACATTTCATTGATATTTGCATCTTAAACTTTTTCTACGATACTTTTTACCTTGTCCATGTCTGTGCTTCATGAGCACTTCATTGATTCGAGGTCTTGTAACCAGCACGTCTTTGGACTGTGGGAACAAAGAGCAAACCAGAGCACTTTGGGGAACACTCGTCAAACATGAGAAAAACATGCAAACTAAAAAGACTAGGCCTGAGTGGTGCCCCTATGGCCTGTAATGCTTTGAGGCACATACCTTGTTATAGCATCATCTCTGATTCAGTTCTGGCAGGGGACCATTACTGCACATCACCCCCATCACTCTCTCACCACACTTCTCTTCTGTCTCTGCTGTCAGCTATCAACTACATGCAAAATTTCTTTTTTGTTCTTTGTGAGCGAGCCAGCCAGAGTAGTGCAGTCGTGGTCATGGACACTTTGTTCTTTTCAAGGTGTGTAAAACTCATGTTCAAAACACAGCATAATGAAGGACAAATGCTAGAAGCAGTAGCAGTGGTAACACAACTGTTGATTTCCATCCATGTGTTTGTATGGGGGGGGGGGGGGTTGTCCTTCAACCACAGAACCAGGGTTCAGCAGGTCTTTGCGTCCTCGAGCCCTGCTGATTTGTCCTTTGATAAGACGCTGAATCCCTTCAGCTGCAGGGGGGGGCGGGCTGATCTGTAATTAATCCTGACCTCTGATCACCCAGGAGGATGGCAAACAAGAGTAGAACTTCCTGACTGGGATCAATAAAGAACCTTAAGGTAAAAGAGAGTAGTACCAGTAGCTGGTAGCTATTTCTGCCACTAGGTGTCAGCTCTGTTTTACTGTAAAACTGCAGCAGATCAGGCAAGAGTTAAGAGATTGCTGCTTTAGTAAATCCAGAAAGAATAAAGATGCTATAGAGTCAGTGGAATAATACACTGGCATGAGTTTTTGAACAATAACACACTTTTTCACTCACGACAAGTTTTCACTTTGCTTTAATCCTTTAGGAGCCTCTAAATGTTTGACTGCTTACGCTGGTGTGAAATGAAACCTGCATAATGGTCAGCCAGATGAAAACAAAAGACAAAAGTTTTCTCTGCAAGATTGCCCTGATTATAAATATGTTTGTGTTTATATTCCAGACCCAGTCAATACCTTTAACTGTGCTTGAGATACAGCATGGGCAAGAAAAAGAAAGTGAGCCCGTTTTTTATTACCTGCATTTATGTATAAATTTAGTCAGATCTTCATCTCTCAGTTACAGAAATAAACAAATAAGATCAATTTTTAAATGATAACACACAAATCATTGTGTTGTTCTTGTCCATATTGAAAATATCAGTCAAACATTCACAGTGTATGTTGGACTCCCTCGGCTAACTGGAGTCAGGCGTTAGCAAATGTCAGTGGAACCAGATTGGAGGTCTGGGTTACATCTACTTTGACTTACAGTATAAAAAAAATAAAAAAAACACTCAAATATTTAGAGTTTGCTGTTCACAAGAAGAATCTGCTGATGTGAACCAGGTCTTGCAAAAGAGAGAGAGAGAGCGAGAGAGCGAGAGATCTCAGAAGACTTAGGATCAAGAACTGTTGATTTGCATAAAGCTGAAAAGGTTACAAAGTCAAAGAGTTTCTCAAAGAGTGTAGATATTGATCCGTCCACAGTCCGACAAACTGTCTATAAATGCAGATGGTTTAGTTCTGTGGCTACTCTCCCTAGAAGCGGGCGCCCAGCTAAGACGACTCCAAAGGCTTAAAGCAATCTTTGGAGCTGCAACATCTCTTGTTAACGAGTCTACCATACACAAACAGGGGAAGATGAATTCCAAAGTTTATCAAGGTATCTTCCAGGATAATGTCAGGGTGGCTGTTCACCTGCTGAGGCTCGGTAGAAGCCGGGTGATGCAGCAGGACAATGACCCTGAACATCAAAGTAAATCTATTACAGACCGACTTCAAACAAACAAAATCCACCTGTTGGAGTCAGAGCCCAGACCTCAACCCCGCAGAGATGCTGTGGAATGAGCTGAAGAGAGATTTTCACACCAGATACCCTCAGAATATGTCTGAACCTAAGCAGCTCTGTAGGAAGAATGGCCCAAAATTCCTCCTGAACATTGTGCGGCGTCTGATCCGCATCTTCTGGAAGAATTTGTTTGTGGTTATTGCTGCCAAAGGAGGTTCGACCAGTTAATAAATCCAAAGGTTCACTTGTTTGTGTGTTATTAGCTTAAGCGCATTGTGTTTGCCTACAGTTGTGACTTAGATGAAGATTGATCGCACTGTATGAGCGATTCAAAAAAAACAACAGGTAATTCCGAAGGGTTCGTTTACTTTTTCTTGCCACTGTTACATAGAAGAAAATGCAGGTTGCAGTCAGCAGCAGAGGAATTTCAGTTTCCTCTAGTCAGTAATCATTTTCATTGAATAGACAGGTAATCAGTGCAGACAACACTTATTAAGAACTGATTAACAACACCGTCTATCAACCAGCAATTTCACAGTCTCTCTCAGATGAATAATAGAGAAAATGCTGTTGTAAACATATTTCACCCTCAGTATTATGAGGTGATGATAAGAGCAAGATAGAAGACTGAAATTAGGATAAACACAATGATACTCATCTAGGTTCTAATAAATGAACAGGTGGTGTCGTTTTTTATCTCCATCGTCATGATATTTTTAATCAGAGCTCTGTCATATGTTGCTGTCATGTCGACGCTTGACCAAGATAATACAATGAAAAGTGACATATAGGATGTGTGCTTTCCGATTCTGGTTGTGCCGCTTTACCCATGAAACCAACTTATTCCGCACACCTTCGCCGAATACAATAGCATGTGTTAAAATGCCACAATCACACTCTCATTCATTATTAAAGAAAAAAGAAAAATGCCCTCGTTTACTACATGTTTCCTGTTGTCGGGTACAAGACGTCTGGGTGTTCTGTCGTAGACTTCCCCCATCTCCCGGGGAGTCAGCGCCCGTCAGACCGTTTTTAGGCAAAGAGGCCGCTAAGGAAGGGCTGTCAGCGGAAATGGATGCTTCCAGAGCTCATTAAAGGCCTGTCTGCGGCATGCCAGGCTCTGGAAGACAGAGCCGGAGATAGAACGCAACATCACAAAGGAATTCCATCCATCATGTTCCTCCATGACATTAATATCTGTCACACACCTCTGACAATGCAATACTGCACCCCTGGAGTGAGACATCTTTCTATCATTGAGTTGCACTGCATGCCAAGCAGGGTGCTCAAGTGTGCGTGTGAGCGTTGGAGTGCATGAGTCCCTGTGTACTTACACGTTTGTTTGAAGGAGAAAGGGAGGATTTATAGATGTATTACTTCTTCTGCCTTGTTCATATTATAAAACATTGACTGTGATATTGCTGCAAGTGTGTGTGCTTTTTCCCAGCAGAATAGTTTCAGTAGTATTCTGCACAAAGGCAGAGCTTTGAAAGCACAAACCACTCCAGGCTGTTGAACCAAATCTGGAATTTGGAGCACTACTCCAGGATGTTTACAATGAAATGATTCATAATGCGCAATATCACGGTGGAACAGCAATATTAAGGTGAAAGCCCTGTACTCAGCACATTATGGATTTAAATGTGAGTCCTTGCTGTAGGACGTGCCAACCCCATGTCCTGTCCCTTCACTCAGCTCTATGTGATGAAGCAGAAATGTCCCCAAAATCATTTTGTAAATTCTTTCTCACTGGCAGCCTCTTGATTCCCAGAGGAGAGATTCACTTCTGCGTGACTTTCTAACTCTCACTGATTCTGTGTCTTGCTCAAGGACACATCAACAGCAGAGACTGGAGATGGAGAGCTCGGGGGCTGCGCCGCCTCAGCTGTCAGGGCTGAACCCACGGCCTAACATGCTCACCTGGTATTGGCGACAGACTGCCGCACGGCATGGAGGATGTTCAAGTGAGTCAAAAGTCACAGCTGAGGATTACAAGGTCATATATTGTGCGAAACTGTTTTTCTTATAGTTCCATTTATTGTGATTTTTAAGTTATTTTAAGGATTTTGGGATCAGTTAACTAGATAAAGTTAAAACTGTACACCACCTCTAAGTCAAGTGTTCTCAAGTTGGGTCCAGAGACTAATGTTACCAATGCAACTGCAATTATATTACTATTTATCAAATATTATCCCAATAACAGACAATGAATTTATAAATTGTAATCTTGAATTTAAGCCTTCATATTTGCAAAAATGTCATATTTAATCCAGTTACATCCCAAAAAATGCCAAAGCATAACCATCACTGGCAACTTTCTCTTAGTTTGGAGGGCAGTTAGAAAATGCTGCAAATAAACCAGACTCAAATAAATCCTAGAGAAAACGCCAAAACTTGAAAAAGAAAGAAACAGATTGGTAATTGCTGACAGTCCTCTTCATTGTCTCCTCGTGTTCCCCGCGCCGTTAGAGTTGAGGTCAGTGAACTCCGAGCAGCTCCCTCAGGGCCAGACTCTGAAGCAGCTGAAGCCTGAACACAAATGACCCAGAGCTAAGCAAACTGTCTTAGGAGACATCCAGAGACGTGTTCTTTGATGAGAGGGCTGCTGATGAAATGACTGCATGCACAAATGTTGCTTATGGTGACTGAAATCCACCAGCCTGAAAAAAAAAAAATGATTGAGAAAACAAAAATGTCTGTAGGGGATGTTGCAACGTTTTAATGTATGTGATATAAGAGGAATATTCATTTTGTTTTCTAGGTCCTCTATATTATTTTTTATTATTGTTTTGAATAATATTGTTGCAGTTGGCACAATTACATGGTTTTCTTTTTTCTTTTAAAAGGATCCAAATGTTTTATTTATTTTTTGTTCGGTGCAGAGGTGCCAAATTAACCAAGCAAGCTGCTAAAGAAATAGACTTTGTTGTGGGATTTCATCCTCCTCCCGTTGTGCCCTCTCAGGGCACAACCATCACGAATTGTTTGCCATTTAACCTCCACAATAGATTCTCATCTCTGGTTTACCCGTATGCGTGCCCTGCATTTATTGACCCCATATACATTTGCTTTTACGAATTACTTTTACGAGTGTGAAGCAATGATGCCAGCGCTTTCTGCTTAATTTTTTCTTTGAACATAAAAGTAGAGATAAGTAGCCAACTAGAGTAAAATAACCACGGATTGGTTTTCCTTCTGTCTTTCCCAGGTTGTTGAATCACCAGCTGCCACTGATACAATATTGATACAATATTCATTAAGACTCATTAACTTAACTGGAGTGGAACTACTGTCTTTTTAATGACTGTATATACTGTTTGTTTAGCATCAATTTAAAATTATCTTTCAATAGACTTACCCTATGTTTTGTATGAAAAATCTTTGCCGCAAAGTAGCAACAATAGATGGCAAATTTAAAATGTACTCTATCAAAATACTATCATTTTTAAAGTGCCATGTACATGAGTTCAGGTTTTACAGTATTGTCATCAGCATAGAAACCACCATAAAACTATACAATACAACTCAAACCTGTATTCAAATAGAGTGGTTATGTGAATTTACTTTATCCCTGTCCACCACTGCATTTCTGAATGTAATATTTTAACTGCTGCTTAAGTCGTCGGATTTCAAGCTGCATTTCGTGTATGAAAGGGACCATCATTGACATTTCAATCTGACAACAGGTCAGTGAGTTAAACATTGATTGTGGGTAAACAATTTGCCTGTAAAAGATGTGCTTATTCTTTGTCAGTAGCATCTAATGTATTTGAGCCTCTTACCCTTTAACTCTTCAGGTACAGTAATGCCCCCCAGATCGAAGTCAACCGCTGGGGATGCATCTGAAATTCATGTTATGGGATCATTAGATACTTTATTCCCCTTGTGGCAAGCATCATGTCTCTTTCATGTATGAACCCTCTCTCTCTCTCTCTCTCTCTCTCTCTCTCGCTCTCTCTCCCTCTCCCTCTCTCTCTCTCTCTGTCTCTCCCTCTGGATCATAACCAGACTCAGCAGTTTTGTGCCGAATAATCAGCCAGTAAAACTGTAAATCAAGCCGCCGTAGATGGCTTTTCAATTGCGCACTGGTTAACCCCAAAGCAGGCCCACTATGAGTTACGGCAGTCACTGATAATACTGTATCTTTTCCTCTTGTTGTAGTGCTGTATGTTGATTGCCTGTATCCATTAGGATTTCTATCAGTTTTTTTTTTTTTTTTTGCAAATCATTTTCAGATACATCTTCTGTCAGCATCTTGTTGAAGGACATTTTGACATAGATTGATTGAACGTCTGTCTATGGATGTGCCTTTTTAAGAACTTTTTAAGGCTCCATGAATATATATATTCCTCCGAGTCTCTTACTCTCCCTCCCCCCATAGCTCCTCAGATTGCTGCAGCATCACAGGGCTGACTGCCTCTGACAGGACTCTCCTTGGACCTCTCCTCCGGGCCATTTGTCAGCAGGCAAGCCCCGCACAACGGAGTACAGATTGGCAGTTGACTGTAAAGCCGTTGAACGTGAACAAGCATAGGCACTGTAGGGGCTGTGAATGAGAAATAATACAGAGGCAAGCTGAATAAACATGATCCTCCAGCGTAATGACTCAGTTCAGAGCACTTCCTTGACAACAGAAGCCTGTCGGGTAAAAATGAAAACACATGCATAAATATTCTCCCTCGTTAATATTTTATCAGTTACATACCACATGAAACATCACAAAGTGATGAACCAGCATCCATGCGAGCAGTGACCATATGTTGTTCCACATTTCTTTTTCACTGTCTGTGAGTTGAGAGTGAGGCGCAGCTTGTTTGCTACAAGTCTCCTCTTCCAAGGTGATTAATCATAATTTCAGACATAACACTGAAGTGAAAAAAACACCTTAATTCTCCTGAGTGTTGTTTTGTTTGCTGTTCAGCACCCGTAAAACTCCTGCAGCAAAAGAGGGTTTCATTAAACACCCATTTTGCAGTAGGATGCTGAAATCACAGCTGGTGTAAAAGCAGAGGTGACTAGTGTTTTTAAAGGAGAATGGAGATACAGCGGTTCTAATTAGACCACTGGCTATCTCAGCGGACCTCCTGTCACTGTCTGTGCCCAAACCCTCTCTTTAATTACTCACAGAGAGAAGAGGATGTCAAGTGAAAATAGCAAGTAGGCTCCATGTAAGATATGCTGCATGATTTCTGCTGTGGGGCAGCAGAGATTCAGACTACAGCACTGGGGAGGAGTCTCAGACATGCAATCCATCACTGAATGCAACTTTGAAAGAATTATTATAGTATTAGCATAAACATTTTTTTGAAAAGTTATTTTTATTTGAATTCATTTCATAGCTTATATTTTAATTTTTTTTCCAGCATTGGTCTATACAATGTCGGCTGGTTAGTTGGCCCATGTCTTCTGTCCTGAAATATCTCAACAACTATTGAAATCATCTACAGACATTCATGGTTCCCAGAGGATAAATCCTAATGATTTTGATGATCTCTTGACTTTTCCTCTTTTGCCACCATGAAGCTGACATTTGTGGGTTTGAGTGAAATGTCTCAACAACTGTTGGATGGATTGGCACAGATTCATGTCCGCCTCAGGATACATTTTTATAAAACTCCTGTGACTGTTCACCTATCACTATCATGAGGTCAAAATTTAAAAATTTCCTTTTTTTTAAACTTTCATTTATGACCACACCTGCAAAATCGTCAGCGTCAGCTGCACAATGTGATTAGAGCTAATTAGCATGCTAACATGCTAAATTTAGATGGTGAACATGGTAAACTCCTGCTTACTGCACATAACTTAACGCACCACGTACAACCTCTAAAAGCTGCATGGCTGTACAATCTTAATCTGGTCAAATCACCCATGGTTCAGACTTACTCTACCTTATAATCACGTTTTTTAAAAGCGTGTGCACTCTGTCTTATGCGTCTTTACTCAGTTATATTTAAAGTACAGTTTGTCTTTTGCATGTCCATGTTGGACAGCTCCGTATGGATATGCTGCTGCGGCAGGTTCTGCAGCCTTTGCTGGATAACTAGTGTGGAGATTTTCCAGGCTGACACCTGATGGGAGAAACCTTGTTCTCTGACACACCTGTGACACATCACGATTACCCACAAGCCCCAGAATTGTAAGTGTGTGTGTGTGTGTCTGTGGGTGTGTGTGTGTGTGTCAGAGGTAGATACTCCTCCACAGGGGGAAAAAACAGAAAGAAAGAAACAGGGAGAGACAGATAAACTAACACAAAGTTGATGTTTTCACAGTGAAAAAAAAAACAACAAAACACTGCATTCTCCAGCTTGGTGGTGGGTCGCACACCTCCACAGTTACCATGGTAACAGTCATCCCCGTGGAGAAGGGTTCTGGCTCAATCCCGGAGGCCAGTGTTTGATTGAATGGTTGTCAGGATGCAAGACGAATGATGACGTATAAGAGCACTATACTGACAGACGCACTTCACACAGAGGTGCAGTTAAGAGCAATAAAAGGTTTGTGTGTCTATGTGTGTGTGTGTGTGTGTGTGTGTGGTTGTGTGTGTGTGTGTGTGTGTGGTGTGTTGTGTGTGTGTGAGTGTGCGTGTTCTTGTAAGTGCACGCATGTGTGTGTATACAGCATGTTTTAAAGAGCGGGTCACCGGGGGGTCTAGAAGGATTTTTTGCTGGCCTGAGAAAAATATCAATGAGTCCTCACACACTCAACCACTCCTCATCCTGAAAATACACACATGCATATTTTATGGCATGAATTCTCTTGGAATAAACGTGTGCATCAATAAAAACGACCCCCCACTGTATGTTCATGTAACAGATATTTACTGCAGTCCCAATTTGCATGTGCAGCAAACATAAAAATACATTTTAACAATAATGTGCAAATGATCACAAAACACCATTCTCCAAATTGGAATACGATTGCTGTCGTTTCTGCTAACAATCTGAATCAAGCCTGTGTCTCG